TTTTCAATTGAAAAATCTTCCTGGATGGTAAACAAAACGTCTTCAAACTTGAAAACAAAGTCCAGTGGATTGTTTTTGAACTCTTTGGAATGCCAAAAGAGTCAGCCACTCCAGTGCGACAAAGTGAGTGTGATAATACTGCATGTCAAACCTGCAATAGGTTCTCATTAGATAGGATTATATAAGAGATATTCATCATAGTCCTTCTTAGCAAGATAATGGTGAAATTAGTTTATAACAGTAATTTCCTAAATTAAGTTTACCAGGAATTCATAAGTGGCATTTAGGCACACTGTCCTGGATCGTCCTCTTAACATGTTAATGATTTCTTTAAGGTTCTGCAGTGTGATAATTGCCAAAAGAGCCAGCCAGTTCAGTGCAATAATACTGCATGTCTTTTACAGTCGTTGGAGTGATTTGGCAGGGGAGGAGCTATATGGGGGGCCAGGGGTGGCCATGGCCACCCTTAGTCAATCATTGGTCACCCCTTTGACCACCCCTACCATTTATTTCCCTCTAATACAGATGGTGGCAAAACATTTTCATTTTTCAACAAAAACACTGTGGTTAATTATGCACATCAATATACTAACATTAAAGATGATAAATACAGAATTCATGCTCTTTTCAGAACTAGATTTTGGGTTTTATGGGGTAAAGAGAAAATTATGTGTCTCTGCAAGTCATCTAAGAGTCTTCAGTGACATCATAGATAAATACAAATGTTAATAAAAACTTATTATTATTGATAAAAGTAGGTAAGTAATGACTAAGAAAAAGATGTTTGCCCAAATCTCAAACCTGAAAGAATTTTATCCACTATACCTTTTATGTAGAAAGTACGAATATTTGAATATATTCCTCTATTTGTTAGCAAAGGCTGTGGGAAAGTATAGTTTGTCTTTATTTAGAAAATATTGATGTTTTGCTCATTAATTTTCCTGTTGGAACAGTATAGCTTGGAGGCTTGGAGCTCGTCTGCCTGGCTGTGTGTTTCGTGGATGGGGCCGCCTTTTACAGTTGCTTTTTGTATCTCTGCTTCTGTCTCATTGAACCCCAGTCGGCCTCGGCAGACGGTCGCTCACACTGAGCCTGGTTGTGCTGGAGGTTTCCTCTCCACTGTCGCTACAAGCATGTTTAGTGTGAGGGCTTGCATTGGAGTCAACCAGTCGATGCAAACAACAGATTTTCCTTAGATAGAAAACTTTGAATCAATTTGACTGTATGATCAAGTGAACTGTAAAGTGCCTTGAGATGACGTGTTGTGAATTGGTGCTATATAAATCAATAAACTGAATTGAATTGAATTATAGATCGACCCTGAGGTTCTGGTGCCTATCTACTTTCGGCCACCCCTCCCTGTACATTGGTTATTGCCTGGCCACCCTTATAAAAAATGTTCTGGCTACACCTCTGTGATTTGGCCTATTGTCAGAGTGGGTCAGAGTAAAGAAAGTAGCAGTTTAAAGAAGACCAAAAGTCCTTAGAAAACCTCTTAAAACACAATATCATATGTTTTGAACCCTTTGTTCACCTCAACAGATGAATTGCATTCTCGAGAAAGGTGGCGTTAAAATAAAACACTTTTATTTTGAATTATGCCAGCTTCGTACTTCCGTCTGAAAGTCAATCTGAGGTTCGTATTCCTTGGGCGAAAGGACGTCGCGGTGGAGCGGTCTGAGTCCAGCGATGAACGCGACCGAACAGAAGCTGGCGGAGCTGGTGCGCGAACACCCGAACCTTTACGACCAGTCGCGGCGGGACTACAGGAACAGTGTGAAAGGACACTTAGCGTGGAAAGAAATCGGGGCCGCCATGGGCAAGTCCGAAGAAGAGGCGAAGCTGTTGTGGAAAAATTTGCGTGACAAGTTCTGTAAAGCAAGAAAGCGACTGGTCAGGAGACAGTTCCCCCAGCAGGAAGAAGGCGACATCCCGTGGGAGATGCAAGTCCCGGGGCTGTTTAGCCAGATGGCCTGGCTCACCTCACATGTTAAACTGCGGGCGGAGGTCGCAGAAGGCATGGGGGAGCTAGAAGAGGTGGTTTAAAGAGCCATTTACGCTTCTAAGACAAACAGCTGCTGATATTTGACCCAATAATGCGCCTCATTCAGTTTCCACCTTCTTTTGTTTGAACAAAAGTAATAATAATAAAAAAGGTGAAAACACCTGATCACCACTACCATTTACAAAGCCTAGTTAATTGTGATTTTTCATCACTGGCGGTTAAATCTAACAACATCCGTTTGTGTCCCTTCAAAACAAAAGACTAGCTGTTGTAACAAGATTTTTTTTGTTTGTTTTGCATTGATTTTTAAGCTCAATATATTTTTCAAAACAACTGCATTTTAAATTTAAGAAGTGGAAAATCAAATGATAAACCATAAAAATAAATGACTAGAACAAAAAGCATTGAAAAACTAATAGTTGTTGATGTGAAGCTAGAAAATAGTTGATATAAAAAAAACAATGAACATTACAAAAAAAATATTTGTGTCTGATACTGATAATGATTGTATTTAGATCAACATTGAAAAAAATAAAAGCAACAATTAAGATATCTTTTGTTGCTTTGCACACTATAGTGAAATGCTGATTGTTAAATGAACTGAAAGCATGAATTGGATCTAAATAAAATAACTTTATTATTTGGCTTCATGCACATTTGGCTCATTTGTCTCCTTTTTACTGGATGAACTGATTAATCCAGGTTTGTGACCATGGTTATTGAGGTCAGTTCATGCAGTAAAAAATTACAGGAAACAAAATAGCTGTCATGAAGTAGTGAGGTTGTGCATAGAGCCCATAATGCTATGATAATATCAATTACAACTTATCCACATTTTCTGGACTACCTCTTTCTACAATTACACTATCTGAGGTCTATTTCAACTTTCAACAGATAAAAATGCTGCTGGGGATACTAATTGTAAACTCCAATTACAAAATCTGCAAATATGTGTTTAGAGCCTTCATCTGATTGATGGACTGGAAATTATTTTCCTGTATGATAGTTAACGTAGTCCAGAAGTAAAGTCCCAACCTACACCAAATCTCAATGGTCAAGGCAAGGTTTAAGATATGATCGAGTCGATCCAGTACAACCAAGTTATTCAAACCGGTTCAAGTTTGTATAAATATTTTCATGCCACATCTGTTTTGCAGCATTTACTGTATCTCATATGTTTTATTTTGCCTTTTTACACTGATTATTTTGTTTTTTTGTGGCATACAGACAACTGTAAGAGGGGACGACCTGGAAAAAGAACAAGAGGAAGACAAGAAGAGGCTGCTGGATGCCCTTCCAGTTGTCACTACCAGTTTTGCTGTTGCAGAGCCCACTCCAAGCTCCCTAAAGATCATTGAACCATCTCCTAAACGCAGAAGACAAATAGCCACAGAAACTGAAATAAGCTCTGCAGACATGTTCAGCAGTTTCAGAGATGAGGATGAACTGTTTTTGCTCAGTCTGCTACCCTCATTGAAGAGGCTCACCATTAAAAAAAGGATGGAGGTCCGGATGAAGTTCCAGCAGGTGCTTTATGCAGCAGAGTTTGAGGACTGAACTCTGGCTCTGGATCAATATTCTAACTATACAGTCCCCCACAGACAATTAACTTATTTATAGCTGTTCCAAGTTGTTTATAATTATTTTTGTAGTATTATTAGTATTTCTAATGTTTACAGCCTGGGCAAAGGGACAGAGAAAAAAGATAAAATCTTGATTTTTGTTGGACTGCCTTATCTCTCATGAATAAAAATAGTAATTTTGATTTGATTTACTTTAGATGTAATCTCTATGTGATAAAGGGTCACACTGGTTCTTCCACGCCAGTTCTGCATAGCTTACGGCAAACAGGATTTTTATTAAACATGTTAGAATTGAACAGTCAAGCATAAATACTCCAATGAAGCACTAGTTATGCCTTCTCATTATGAAGTATTGTGCCTATGTTTTTTTTTTTTAAATCTAATATAAAAAATCTAAATTTCCTTTTTACTCGGACGTATACAGTGCCTTGCAAGAAGTTTTCCACCCTTCTATCACATTTTTACTACAATTCTTTTATGTTTTATGCAATAAATAAATGCACATATATATTTTGTGTTACATTTTCCCTGATGCAAACCCGGCGTCTTTATAGCTGCATCCATGTTTAACATGTTCTGGGATTCAGGCGGGGTTTCAGGATCAGACATCATTAATGATCTCACAGATCCCTTCACTTTCGAAAAAGCTAATCAACAAACATCCTTCTTTGCCACAATCAACAACTTTGCTTCCTGTATTCATCAGTTGTTCACTGATAAACTCAATCAGCTGATTTTACTCATGGCCCGCTGGCTGCTTTCTTTGTTCGTCTGTGAGTGATCGGCTGGATCCCCCTACCTTGTGCTTTTCTTCAACTCATCCCTAAAGTTTTTCTACTTGTAACGGCTCATCTTGCAACCAAATATGTTCCCAAAAAAAAAAAAAAAAAGCCAGAGTAGTTTTTAGGAGGAGCTTTTCGCCTCACTCAAATATAAAAAGCACTCACTGAGAGTTTTCTAGTTTCAGAAGGTCTTTTCTTCACTTATAAAAATAACAGAAATAATCTTAAAAAAAAAAAAAAATTAAATATAAACGTTAATTAATGTGGTAGAAAATTTGTTTTACTCCTTCACCAAACAATCAGATCAACCACAGCAGCGGCTTCTGTTTGTTAATCCCAGCAGGAGGAGGCTCAAATAAAATAAATAAATACATAAATAAACAACAGTAGACTTACCATTACCATAACCTCAAAATATGTAACATTAGTAATTTAGCAAAAATGACACTAATCTAATTCTTAAGAGGCTCCAATAGCACGTCACGTTAAATGTGGTAATTTCACAGTACACCTACACAGGTTGGAAAACAGATTCATTCTCGCCCCCAGATATATACATCCGTGCTAAATGATTTGTCAATTGTCTAAAAAGCTTTGGATACATAATTTGAGTCTCATTCACTTAGATACTCATCCAGCAGATAAAGTCCATTGTAACCAGTTGATTTTAGAAATCACCTGTATAGTAAATAAAAATTGTGATAAACAACAGAAGTCATCATTGAAACAACAGCATCACAAAGACCAACAGACACTTTGTATATGTTTGGTGAAAATGTAGGGAAATTTAAAACATTTACAGGTTGCAAGCTTTAAGCATCCACCAAGGATTGTTTAACCCTTTACCTAAAATTAAAGAAGTGTGATACAAACTTCTCAAGATGCAGCCACTAACTAGAATGATCATGCCTATCAAAAGGAGTTAGTGAAAGAGAAACAGTCAAGAGGTTCAAGTGAAAAACTGGGGGATTTACAGACATGAAACTGCTCAGGTGGGATATCTGTTGACCACTTAAAAGTTATTTCATTTGCTCCCCCATTATTGCCATTATAGAAGTGTCAAGAACGGTCATTGTTAGAAGAAATTATAACAAGACTTTTGTTTTTTCAAAAGCAATACAGAGGAGGCAGCAGATATTTACTAAAATATAGCCCTTGTTTGAAGGAAAACTAATTGATCACATGGCTCCAAAACCTGATCTCTGGTGAGACCTGGTACTGGCTGCATCATGATGTGTAGATGCATTTCTTTAACAGGAACAGACAAGCTGGTCAGAGCTGATGTGAAGATGAAAGGAACTGAATTAAGGAAACTAATGTCATAAAATCTGGTTTTAGAGAATATCTGTTCAAAAGATTGCTGTGTGTTACAGGTATAGGTACCGCTTAGGATCTAATATGTTAGGATTGGCAGCCTCAGTCACATACATCACCAATTGTCGCCACCAAGGCCTTGAAATAGTCTCCTTTCCATATTTTTGGCATTATCTTCCTGACGTTCCTCCATCTTTATATTGACATTATTTGGGATTGCTGTGTCTAAAATAACTGTTCTCTTTTTTGCTGTTTCTGAAATGTGTAATACAACAAATACATTGTGCAATAATGGACATTTGTAATATCAGTTTGGTTCAAAATTATTCATACTTTCATTGTTCCTGCATGTGCAGAAAAGTCTCTGCATCATTTTCTCAGTGGGCATTCCTGTACTGTAATTGAGATTATTTTCCAGCTGCACTGTTATCTGCACCGTCATTCACTTCAAAATAAGCCAATCACCTGACAGCAAACACAAGGCCCTCCTTCCCATCATGATTGGCTGGTAATATATTTGCTGTTTTCATTCATCCCTTTATACATGTCATTCAAACATTCTGCTAACCTGATATATTTAGCTTTTAAGAAGATATTAATGCATATTTTGCTGTATTTCCTGCTTTTTTTTCTTTAAGTCACTATCACTCCCATCATCTCTTTGCTGTAGTTGTCTCCCTGCAAGCCCTCCTCCTCCTCCTCCTATCTTATTCTAGAAGCCCTCCCCCCTCCCATCCTGTCTGCTTTCTTGTCATTGGGTGATGTGTGGGGTGATGGTTGTGGTTTCTGTCGGTGATATCTCCAGAGCATGTACCAGCTCACTGCCTCTAAGCTGAGAAAGTAGCCGTAGATGGTTGGATGGCGTTTTTTTTATTTACAGAGACAGACATGTTTAGAGTGGGACATCTGGGAGATGCTGATTACTGCTTTTATCTTTTACAACCAGAGCGATGAACTACAGCTTTGCTGAACATCAAGCCTGCAGTGGCCAGTTTCTGCACTAATGAATGAGTGAGGATAATATCTCTGCTTCTTGCTTTTAAGGTGAGGCAATAGTAACTGCATGATAGCATGCACATGCATTCAGCAACAGCAGGTTAGGGTAACCTAGAATAATAAGAGAAGTTGACAAAATTGCTACATTCAAATGCACATATATTGTTTTATATTTATGCCATGTTGAAAGTGATCTGTAAACTAAATTTAGAAAAACAAATTTTTTCTGTTTATATAATGATTATTCATAAACCTGTGAGCTGTATCAGAGTATTTATTATTGCAGCGCTGTGTCCAGGATTGCTGCACAGTGACAAGCTGGTTACTACAATGAAACAGCACCTCACATCCAATGGTGAAAAAAACCCTCCTGACAGCTTGTGATTTCCTGATTTAGCTATAAAGTTAGATTTTCATATAGACACTGGGTGGTGGGCTGCATAGGTGTGGCTCAGACATGAATGGAAGGAGTCCAAATGAGAATAAAATAATTAAATCATTATTTAGGGATTAATTCAGTGGTCTGATATCTGCAAAAAAATTGAACAATATTACCTTAATTTGGAAATAGATCATTTATAAAGATGTGTTAACAAACGCATTTAGAGTACAGTCTGGTTGGAGTGTTCACAGGATCACACACATCCGATGTGACTTTTTTGACATAAGAACTGCTTTTTCCTTCAAAAATCTCACATGATGCATCCTAAAAAATTCACTAAACAAAAACTCTTTCTCTCACTAACAAGATCATTATCAGTAAAGCCTTATGTACAAACATTTGTCTTAATATCTGTTGAAGTTCCTCATGAATGGGGTACATTTCTGATAATAGAAGTTCAGAGAAGCTTCAGAAACAACCAATTATCATGACTTAAAACAGTGAACAAATAAGATGATTACATGTTAGAAACTTTGATTATTAAACATTTTCAGTTTTCAGGCAGTATTAGCTTTACACTAATATTTTTTTTTTTCCTTATCATCTTGTTGTGATTAATTTTCCCGGAGCTGAGCTTTTTAGATATGTACCTACATTAACATAACCAAAAAGAGGTTTTAGGTAATCTAATAAAAAAGCAAAACCGAAATTATAATACAGAGGGAAAAGAAGTGACAAAAAATTAAGAAAAATGCTGCAGGAACTTTGATTAGTATCTCGTTTAATGTTTCCAAAGGAACATCTGTTAGTGGGAACTTGTTGAATAATTAATGCTGCAAAAAACTAAACAGCTAAACAAACAAAGGCCTTCACCCTGATATGTTGATATTGTTGGTCACAGATACATCTAAGGTGAGTTTGTAGCATTTTATAGCTTTAATGCTTCTATCACTTATACCTCTGATATATGTTGCTGAATATTTTTTTCACGTGCATTGGAGTATTTGTTTATGGAATGGAGAACCATAAGACGTTATTATTTCTGTTGTATGGTGGGGTTATTAACTGAGAGAGTAGTAGTTTATTATATACTGTTTGTTATCAGCTTAGAGGTGCTAATGGGACCCTCTTGTTGCCATAACGATGCTTTGTAAGAAAATCTTCTTTTTGTGTAAGCCTTGTTTCTGCCTCAAGTCAACTGTCTTATCTAGCTCCTCAAGATATTTTTAACACAGACAGACAGCTGTAAACAAAAAAACGTTAGTTTTCCTGAAGGTTTAAAAACTGTACCTTCCAAACTCATCACAAATAAAATTTATATCATCTCTTAAGATTAGTTAAACTGCAATGCAATCCTGTCTAAAAGGCTGATTCTCAGGAAATTAACACAGGAGGTACAGAAGCAGCCAAAAAGCCACAGATGTGTTCTGAACTGGTCATATGATCCCTGGTCAGCCTTTAGTGATTAGAAAGGGAGGAAAGAGCAGGAAAACCACAGAGGAGGAAATGAAACAGGGCTTTGTCACCGTTTACAGAGGACTCTCTGATTGTATGATTTTAGGGTTTAAAGGGTTTCTGTCATTATTTGGCGAAGCTGAAGCCTCTGGATTATTAATTATGAAAAGAAAAAGTAAGTCGTATGTTTAATATGGACATTTTTTTTGTGACTTATTTTTAAATACTGAATGTATCTGTAGTAGGACAATGGTTGTCAAGTATATTATTATGGATTTTAAGGATAGGAGAATATAGACTAAATACAGGGGTTTCTGTCACTTTGAACAGTAGCAGCTTGACAGAGAAATTCTGTCATTCTGTCATATTTTATTCATTCATAAAAAATGAAACCAAATGAATTTATTAATGAAGTATTTCTCTGCTCAGACACGACATTCACAAACAGCATGTTTCGTTTCATATCCATTGCATAAGATTAATCAGTATCAATAGTTTTTTCTCTCTTTTTTTAAAATTAGACAAGCAAAAAATATTCAAAATCACAAATGTGCCTAGTATTGTTCCAGTATGCGCTTTGTAGATCAGTCTGAAGCATCTTCTGTTTATTGCACAGATCACTCCCCATTGAGAACATCCAGAGTATAAGAAAAAACTGATCAAACTGGACTGCAATGATTCAGCCAACCACTGTGAAGAAGGAAGGGTCATTTGGGATGTCCAAAACACAACTGGACCTCACTGCCCAGCTTTAGTTCTGCAGGATCCATTCTACAACAAAACCCTTCAAAGACTCAGGAACACCTTTAAGTGACACAGGGGGCAGAGGAGTTTCCCACTCAGCATGTACTCCCCCCAGAGCCTGCATCGCTGGGGCATCACTCACAGTGAGAGCATAGAGCGTCTGGCTTACAGTCAAGGTAGGCCTCTGGTTTAAAATTTAAATGACTGACCTCAGCTGTTTGACTTTGATAACTTGGAAAAAATACAAGAAAAAAAACAACAACAAAAAAACCCATATTGAAGTGTAGATTTCAGTTTAAACAAAAATAGAAAATTCTGTTTAAAGCTATCTCATACATTTTTCTGGCAAAAGTACAAAAATGAATCATTTCTGGGGATTTTATCGGAAAACATTAATCTCCAGTGTATGAAAACATCTGGTTGCACTTAAAAAAAATAATGCAACCACTTCTGGCATTTACCGTACTTAATCATACTAAGTTACTTCAACACAATTGTTTAATGTCCTACTCTGCTAACATGAAACAATTGTGTTAAAGTAACTGAATATAATAAAGTAAATGCAAACAAACTGTTGCGTTAAGGTCTAAGGCAGGAGTCACCTACATGATGTGGGCACCATGGGGTACCCACAGCATCTTCTGAACACAGCACAGATTGACATTTTTACTTTATTCTGTTGCCCTTCTTTTTTAAGCATTTATAGAGATTTAAAAATAACAATATCATAAATAAAATTAGTAGTTAAACAATAAAAATAAGTTTAATTACGTATGAAGTTAAAGTGAACACTGACCCTTCCTTCCTTCCTTCCTTCCTTCCTTCCTTCCTTCCTTCCTTCCTTCCAATAAAAATAAGTTTAAGTATGAAGTTAAGGTGAACGCTTATTCTTCCTTCCTTCCTTCCTTCCTTCCTTCCTTCCTTCCTTCCTTCCTTCCTTCCTTCCTTCAATTAAGAATATGCTTATTATGTATGAAGTTAAGATGAACGCCCATCCCTCCAGTTCATATGCCAGTATTGGTAGCCCTAACTATGACTCAGTACCTATGAAGTAACCCTCTGCCTTGAGAAGGTTGGTGACCCATGGTCTAAAATCTAAATATGTCAAAATACTTTGATAAACTTAATATTTCAAACCAAGGAATCTATATGTCATATCTGGGTTTGACTGAAAAACAACCAATTCTGAATGAGATTTTCTAAAGTTTGATGAACCATCTTCAGTGAGCTGCCACCTGAAGTTCCAGGTTCTACCAGCAGGGGGTAGCAGGCTGTAAAATCATGACGTAGTGCAGCTCGCTGCCTTTTGTGATCTTCGTGGGCCTCCTGACGCCGCCTCTTCACAGGGTGCAGCAGCGGGACTGTGGACACCAACTGTCGGTTAGGTTAGCTGGCTGTAAACAAATCTGTACACCTCCGAGATGTACGCCATAGAAACGCTTTGTGAGACGCTGTTTGCTGCGCTGTAATCACAGCCGTTAGCACACAATGTAGAAAATATGACGCTTTTATGCCCGGGGGCGGTGTAACTTTTATGGACAGCTGGATTTTTTTTCTGCTGCTGTTGTTGTTGTTAAACTAATGCCATCATTTAACCGATGGGATGCCACACATTTAATCGGTGACGTCTGCCAAAATCTGTTGCTAACTAACGGGAAGTAAGCTGGATAATTGGTGCTTTAGCTGCATCGAGGAGCTCGGTTAGCTTTAAAAATATTGAACATGGCATCTGCTGCTGCGGAGCACGACCTGGCTCTGTCTGAGGCGGACAGCAGTAAAGAGAAAGGCCAGGTGTTCGGCATTCTGAGGCTCCAGGAGGAGAAATCAAGTGCAGGGGAGAAGACGAGCAGCACTGTTAGAGGAGGAGGAGGAGGTGTTGGAGACGGGCGATGGCAGGCTCCTATCTTCGCTTTAGCAAGGAAAGCATCAGAGACCATTTCAGGAAGCATTCACGTCCATCCCAAAGTGTCGGAACAAAGGAATTCTCTTCCCGGGGACTGGACTGTCCAAGGTACAGTATGCCTCATGCTGGTTGATAATAAATGAAACGATGTGACAGACCCTCTGCTCTCTCTGCTGTCTTCACTTTTCATCGTCGTAGTGCAACCAATCGATGTTTTACTCATGCATCTCCCACACAGCTTTCTAAGCCGGGTCTCACATGATGCATAAGGGAAAAAAAAAGGCTTTGGGGTTATAACACTTTCCTACGGAAGAGGATTAGAGCCACTGAAAAAATAAAAAAAGTTAACTGATTTTTTAATTTTATTTCAGAATAATATGAGAAAAAAGTCAAAGTTCTGACTTTAATCTCACAATTCTGACTGTAATCTCAGAATTCTGACTTTTTAAAATCATAATTCTGACTTTAATCTCAGAATTCTGACTTTAATCTCAGAATTCTCACAGAACTATTATTACTACTACTACTACTATTATTATTTCTGATTTTAATTCTGACTCCTTTTTTTTTATCCGAATCCGAATTCTGACTTTAATCTCAGAATTCTGAATTTTTTCTCAGAATTCTGAGTTTTCTCTCAGACTTCAGACTTTTTCCTAAGAATTCTGACTTTAATCTCAGAATTCTGACTTTAATCTCAGAATTCTCACAGAACTCTGAGAGCTAACATGTTAGCATCAAGCCGTATCCATGTCTGTTTTAGAGAGAAAACTAGCTCTCTCGTTTTAATCACCTTCTGCTCCTCCATTAATGAAATAGCATCACCGGGGACCTCTCTGGCACGTAAAAAGTTGCCTAATTTCAAAATTTTCCACCATTGTGTTACTGGCCCTCCAAAACAACTCACATCTTTGTTACTGAAGCTGAGTGCTCCCACATATCTTCCTTCATGGTGCCCATCTAGAGAGATTAAAGTCAGAATTCTGACTTTTTCCCATATTACACTGAAATAATATTTAAAAATCATTTAAATGTTTTTTTTCCCTCTTTCCAGTGGCCCTAATCTTCTTCCATACATCTCGCTACGTCGTTCAGTTTAAAATATAAACCCCTCCTGACTCAGTCTACTCGGCTGTCGATGATTATATTTCCTCAGCAGCAGCATCTCTTACCCTCCCACTCTCAGCTAAATTTAACCTTAGGGTGGTTGTCACCTTTTTCATCTGACACTGTTTTGTTTTTTTTTTTTTTTTTTTT